GTCGAGACAGTGTGTGACTGCAATAAAGAAGGCCAATGCTATGCTGGGGATTATTAGGAAGGGTATTGAAAACAGATCAGCCAATATAATAATGCCCCTATATAAATCAATGGTGAGACCTCATTTGGAATACTGTGTGCAGTTCTGGGCACCACACCTTAAAAAGGATATTATAGCTTTGGAAAAAGTGCAGAAAAGGGCAACTCGAATGATAAAAGGGTTGGAACACTTTCCCTATGAGGAAAGGTTAAAGCGCTTAGGGCTCTTTAGCTTGGAGAAAAGACGACTGAGGGGTGACATGATCGAGGTTTATAAGATTATGCATGGGAAAGAGCAGGTAAAGAAAGAGGTACTTTTCTCCCTTTCTCACAATACAAGAACTCGTGGGCACTCCATGAAACTGCAGAGCGGTCGGGTTAGAACGGATAAAAGGAAGTACTTCTTCACCCAAAGAGTGATTAACACATGGAATTCACTGCCACAGGAAGTGGTGGGTGCTACAAGCATGGACGGCTTCAAAAGGGAATTAGATAAGCATATGGAGCAGAGGTCCATCAGTGGCTATTAGCCACAAGGTATAGCTAGGGGCTCTAGGGCAAGTGATGCTCTGTCTTCTTGGTGCTTGGGGGGGGGGTCAACAGTGGGAGGGCTTCTAATGTCCTGGCCCCACTGGTGGACCTCCTGATGGCACCTGGTATTTCTGGCCACTGTGTGACACAGGGTGTTGGACTGGATGGGCCTTTGGCCTGATCCAACATTGGAGTCTCTTATGTTCTTATGTTCTTATATCAAACACAATGAGTCTCAATAATGGGGAAGGGATTGGCATTAAAAGTCAAAGGCATTAATTCAAATAAAGAACATACAAGGGTAACAGCACCTTGTGGTGCTAAAAAGTCTTCCCGAACCTTACACATTCCATCCCTGATACACATAGCATAAGTTAAGAATCTGTACCAAAAATTATTCAGTTATTGCTTTAAATTATCTTCTGAATTGTAGAACAAATTTCATTATTAACATTTAAAGTGTGATTTTGACCAGATGAAGCTGTCTGTGAGTTTGCACTCTTCTGTATGTATCTCCTCTAGTACAGAATGTACCTATGGAGTTCTTTAAAAATGTTATCATGGGTGAGAGACCTTCTATGATTGGCTCCCTCAAAACTGGTCTAATGCCTTAAAGGACCTAGCTGTGAAGATCAACTGCCCTAATCATAGAATCTGCACTCTGCTGGTGGTGGGAGGGATATGCAATTAGCCCTTGCTCCCATGGCTGGGTCATCTGAACATAAACTTGGTTGCATGGGAACTGGTCACAGAAAAAGTGGTACCACATGAGTAAGGTCTTTAAAGTAAAGGTAAAGGTTCCCTTGCTCGAAAGCCAGTCAAATCCGACTCTAGGATTGTGGTGCTCATCTCTGTTTCAAAGCCGAAGAGCCAGTGCTGTCTGAAGACATTTCCGTGGTCATGTGGCCGGCATGACTGAACACCAAGGCGCACAGAACGCTGTTACCTTCCCACTGAAGTGGTACCTATTTATCTACTTGCAATTTCTTGCTTTTGAACTGCTAGGTTGGCAGGAGCTGGAACTAGAGACGGGAGCTCACTCCGTCATGTGGCACACTCGGGTCTCGAACTGCTGAACTACCAACCTTCCACAGCCTGCAGTTCAACATCTTAACCACTTGAGCCACCGCAGCTCCTAAGGTCTTTAAAGAACCACACAAATGAATATCTTTTGCATTTAGTTTATGAAACTCCTGCTCTGTCACTTAGGAAGATATTCATGCATGTTTGCAGTAACCCCACAGCCCTCAGAATGTAATGCAAAAAGTCTGAATAATACACATGTGCTAGTAGTAAACAACTCATAAAAGCACAATGAACAATACCAACCAAAAACTAGACAATGACTGCAAAATCCTCCAGTGCAGAAATAACTCAGTGTTAACTTCAGAAGCATAAACTGAGTGCTATTATTTCCATGCAACAGCTCTAACATGTTAACTATATTAACAAATTACTGTACATTAAAATTCTGTTAACTTCATGAATGCTCTTCATATACAGAGTTTAAGACCTGATAGAAAAACCCAGAAAAATTCAGGGGAAAAAATGTTTTCCCTGTTTTTCGCAAGGACATTCTATTTTTCCCATTAAAACTTGGGTCATTTTGGGGAGCACTGAAAAAAAGCTGTGAAATATCTTCTCTTTTTGAGTGAGAAAACCTTCATTTTAAAAAGTATTTCACTCATCCCAAATGGAAAAATTGGGAAATTTTAGGAAATACTGAAAGAAACTCGCCAATGATTATTTTTCTCTTTGGAATGGGTAAAATGAAAACTAAGGTTTTACTCATGGTGTAGGACAAAAAATTTTATGTAACACAATCTACTGCATTATATACTGATAATTCAGAAATATACTGTAGACATATACAACAGTTTGTAATATTTATGTTTAAATGTAAATCATTTTGACAACATTAATTGTCAATACATTAAAGAATTCAGTATTTTCAGTGTTAAATTCCATCAGAATGCCACATACTAGAAGCGTACATATTATCTATGTTACAAAACTTGTCAGTGCAAAACAGTCCACAACTAGTCTATATTTATTTAGATACCTATGCACTACTTTTCTCCCCAGTAGGAACCTGAAATGGCTTGCCATATCATCCTCTCCTTCTCCATCTGAATTATGCAACAACCCTGTGAGTGAGGTTAGGCTGGTAGCCCACAACTTGCCCAAGGTCACCCAGTGAGCTTCCAGGACAGAGTGTGGATTTGAACTTGGGTCTCCCAGATCCTAGTCTGACATCCTAACCTCTTTAACCACACTGGTATAGTCACATCAACAGAGCCTCTCCTTTCAAAATCTAACAGTGTACTCACAACTTCAATATTCTAGAAAGCAGCACAGTAATGACCAATGATGTGGTAACTTACAGTTTTTGATTTGGTGAATTTGTCTTCACATTTAATTGCCTCCTCTGGGGAAACTCTTCTTTTTGACAAGTCGATATAGCCTAACACAAAAATAAATATTTTAAAATGTAATTAAGATTCACCCCAATTCCTGATTTCATTTTTTAAGAAAGCCAGTTCTATTCACCGAATGCAGCTAGAAAACTACAAGTCTCACTTCACATCTGAAACAGACATCTTTTGTTTAAATTCCTGCGATTCCCAGACAAAATGCCAAGGTTATGACACAAGTTGTCAGGATGAAAACAAAATGTGCACTTAAGATTTAAAATAGCACTACATGGTTCTTTCACTTACCTTTTTCTTTATCAACCCTTATGACGACGACACATTCATTTCTGCCTATTCGGATCAGTTTGTTTATAGAACGGATACGCCTCCTGGACAACTCACTGAGCAGAATCATGCCTTCAATATTGTTGTATTCCAAGAGGCTAACATAGGCTCCCATTTCTGCAATGGACCGAACATTGACCATGACAACATCTTCAACTTCTGGAAATTTATGCTGGTAAAACCTACAACTTAGTCCAGGCATCCTGTAATATTGGTGTAGTAGGGAAACAGAAGCATTTAATTTAGTCATAACAGCAAAACCAGACCATGATTAAAAGAATAAATAGCAACACTTTTACCTGTGTACATTCTGAAACTGTGTATTAGACTGCATGCACTTGTGAAAAGCAACATTAACAGATGTAACTGGTGGTGGAAACCGCTGTCAAGTCACAGCTGACTTATGGCAACCTCACAGGGTTTTCAAGGCAAGAGACGTTCAGAGGTGGTTTGCCACTGCCTGCCTCTGTGTCACGACCCTGATACTCCTTGGTGGTCTCCCATCCAAATACTAGCCAGGGTCGACCCTGCTTAGCTTCTGCGATCTGACAAGATCAGGCTAGCCTGGGTTATCCAGGTCAGGGATAACAGATGTAACTAGAGAGCACGAAATCTAACGAAACAACTCTTACAGTTAAATCAAAATACAAGGGGCTCAATCCCATACACCACCAGCTAAAGGCACCTGTGGAACTTTCTCAACCTTCTTCTTCCCTCCTTCGAGCCCTGCAAAGGTGATGCAAGGGGACTGGGTTAGCAGAGAAGACTCCTGGCTGAAGAGGCATTTCCCCCAGTTCCCACTCCTCGCTGCAGCTGCCCATCATGTGTGGCTTTTTAACCATGCAGGTTCCCCAACCTCCAGAATTACCTTCTGGATGTATCCAGTACACACCATGTTTATGCTTATGCAGTTAAAATATCAGAAGTGTTAGCATATAAAGGTAAAGGTTTCCCTTGCTCGAAAGCCAGTCGAATCCGACTCTAGGGGGCAGTCCTCATCTCCATTTCCAAGCTGAAGAGCCAGTGCTGTCCAAAGACGTTTCCATGGTTATATGGCCGGCATGACTAAACGCCAAGGTGCATAGAATGCTATTACCTTCCCACCAAAGCGGTACCTATTTATCTACTTGCAATTTCTTGCTTTTGAACTACTAGATTGGCAGGAGCTGGGGCTAGAGATGGGAGCTCACTCCATCATGCAGCACTCGGATCTCAAACTGCCGAACTACAGACCTTCCGGTCTGCAGCTCAGAATCTTAACCTCTGAGCCACTGTGGCCCCTTTGTTAGCATATATAATTCTGTAAAAATGTTTTTTAAAAGTAAAGCACCACAGCTGTATTGTACATGTGTGTGGTTTTTCTGAAGGGAAGGAGGAGGTAGACTGCAGATCTAAATCCATGCATGCACACTCAAACACTGCCCGCTTCTGTTGGTAAGGTCTTGTGCTGTGTCACAGCTAAAAGTACAATTAAGATGTCACCATAGCCAGAAATTCACTAGGTCTTAGAGAAGTCAGTGTCCCAAGTGTCTCAGCCCCCTCACCCCAAATCTGCAACAACGAATGACCAAACTTGCCCAACAGTAATAAGGATCACTAAGAATTTATATGATATATTTTGAATTCCACTTTCCTTTCCTGTCTCCTGCTTTCTCGGTTTCTGTTTCGTTCCTCCTTAACTGAGGTTACCAGAAATTCAGACAGCTACACAGTGCCAAGGATCCCATGACTATATAGCTTTCCTTGGCAAGCTTACAAAACCTTGTGGCTTATTGTAGGTCTGCAGAATACTCATGAGTGTAGTTTTGGCAACAAGTCTCCAAATAGGATTGCTGTCACAACAATCCACCCAAGAGGGAAAAAAATGGATTTTAGAAAATCGTATAGTTTTGCCTATTTCATGAAGTGTTACAGATCAGAAAATGTATTTCCTTTACCTACAGCCCCCCTTACTGAAATGCAATGCAGATTACATACTGCAAGTCAATGTAATCAATAGAATGAGACATCTAATAAGCAATATAATAAGACTAATGTTACTGAGAGAAATTTTGCCTGCAGTTACCAGAGATTTATACTTGGAAAACTATTGTTTTTCAGGTTTGAGGTACATATTGGAAGATACTGAAAGACTTGCTTAAATACACAAGGAAACTGCACCTGAGAGAGCAGGGAAGTACTATAATGTTCTAAAAGAGCAAGATAAAGTAGTGTGAACAAAGGTATATCGCACACTGGTAAATTTTTAGAAACCAAGGGTATGTAAGAAACAGTTATTCTGACTGAGTCAAATGACAGGAAGGCTCTATACAACCTACTGGCTCTTCGTTTATTATAAAATTTTGCTATACCTTCCCAAACTAATGCAGCTTATAAAAATTTTTAAATTAAGTGATATAGGGCAGCATATCCCCTTCTCTAGGAAGTTAGTCCCTACATTTCTCTCTGTCACAGAGATTAGGGTTTTCAAGGCAACTGCTTTTCTCCTGAGAGTCTTAATGGAGACATTATTGTTCCAACACAGGCAGGAAGACAGGGTGGAACAGTGATGGAAACAAACTGATTTAGATCAGGCAGATGCTTTTCATATAAATTGGAGGCGAACAAATTAATATATAACAACTGGAAGGGGATGGGGAAGCAACAGAATCAATTATGGTACCAGTGAATGCTTCCTGAACTGGCAAGATGACAAACTATACACAGGAAGTTGCATATGAGTACAGTTAGTGGCACTGCTTCCAAGAGTCAACTGCCTAGAAATAACATGTAATTTATCGTGTTAGCTACAAACTAGGGCTTGGATTCTGCCAAAAATTTCAAAGGTAGTACTTCACCAGTTTCCCCCAACACTGCAGCCCCAAATGTTCCCCAAAGTGCTGCTCTTTGGGGATGGGGACCCCCAGAAACAGTTGGGTGAGGGAGATGGAGGTCTACCATGGGAGGGAGGACCTGGTGAAAGGACCCCCTTCTACATATGGAAATCGTAAGCAACATCCAAGCCCCTAAGTTTTAAGGTAGGAAGGGAAAACACACAGCATATAAAAGGGGGGGAAATGCCCCCCATATAGCAGGACAAGACTGTAAATGTGTGTCTTAGTACACAACCCCTGAATGCACATGGCCAGTCCCATGTTACTTTTATATAAAACAAGAAACAAAGGTGCATGTTTTAAACAAAAACTGAATTGCACTTCACCAGTGATGTTCCAAGCAGTACTAATAATTAATATTTGTGTTGTGTTCAAAGGACATCACACACTTTGTTACTCAAACACTTTTTTAAAAAGCTCTATTGCAAATGAGGGCCTGGAGATGAGAGTGACTTAGTCACTTGTTTAAGGTCACAGCAAGAACAAATGGCAGAGACAACATTCAAACTGGAAGCTTCTTCAATTAAGAGAGCAATCCTATTAGTCTAAGCCACCACATCAATACACAGACATGACACTGGCACAAACACACCCAAAAGGCACACCTAATAGCAACAATTGCCAGCTGAGGGGAAAACTGCACAATGGAAACATTTGTATCCCACTTATGCCACATATACAAGTGCAGAAAATGATACCTGAGTCTTGCTTAGCCCTTGTCTGAACAGTCTGCAGAGGGAGGCAGACAATGCACAGTCTTTTACTGCTGTACTGTATTTATTATTTAAATTGTATTCTGTAGCTAAAATGTTCATTGCATTAATCTTTTATTTCATTTTATTGGTGTATGTAATGGGCCAAAACCACATTAAGGTCCATTTAGCAAAGACCTACAGGATATAACTTTTAAAATCAAACTACATCAGTGTAATTTACTAGTGGAATCCCTTCCTTCATCCACTCTTTTGGAGAAGCAATTTATACACTGCTCCTCCAAACAAAACTGGGTCTGGGGGAAAATACAACTTTACAGAAGCTGGCCATCAACCAGTACACATCAGTACAAGGAATAAGGGTTCCATGTGAACATACCCATTGATTGATGATCTACTGCAGATAGGCTGTCTTAACTGACAGCGTTCCAAAAAACTCCTACAAAACTTGCCAAGGGGTGGTACTAGGTCATTTTCAAAGTACACTTTTCAGCCTTCTGCCATTACATAGCTTAAACGTTGCAGTCATTAGAAGATCAAATTCTTTTTTCAGGCGCCTGCAAGTTGGCAGAAAGAATTTACCCAGCACAGAGTAAAACAGGGCCAAATTTCATTAATATTTTATGATGAATGACTTAAGTTCAAACTTTTCTTAAAACTGAACTTAAGCCAGCAATGGGGTAGGGGGGAACTATTCTTTGCTTAGCTTTAAAAAACAAAACACAGTTGCAAATATGTAAAGAATATAAGAACTGTAGAAGCAATCGTTTGAAAGTGGCCCTATATGACCACCCAGTAACTCCTGTTTCTTATGGATTTTTAATTTTTTTGCGGAGCGAGGAAGCCTAGTCAATGAAGGCAAGTTACCTATGAAAGACCATCTCTCAACGTTTACAGGGGGTGCCTGCATTTACCATTTGGCTGCCCGATTATAGGGCGAAGAAAGGCTCGTCGGGGTGACACCCAGCTCTCTCTGGGAGGCCTGGAAGACTCGCCCTCACGAGCTCTTTCCCAGGGGGTGGTTCTTGCCGAAGACAGACTTCCGCACCAGGAAGCCCAAATGACTCCGACCCACCCGTGGAGTGAACGGCGGCTGCGTCAAGAGCGCGAGGTGCACCAGGCCAAGCACTACGCGCCCTCTAATTCTCACCCGCCCGGATGGCCTTCAGGCCCGCTTCCCTAAGGGACCCTCTCCGTGCCCCCGGTTGCCTTACAGCCCGAGAGAGGACGCTGCTGGCCCCCACGCCAGCCCCTGCAGCCCAATTACCTGCCGCTTTGAGGGCCCCGCTCTCTGGAGCTCTTCTCTGGGTTCCAGGACCAACGGCGTGTATCCGGTTCGACCGCGGCAAGCCACCCACGTCGATCTGCGCAGTCGCCACCCCGCCTCTTCCTGCTTCCCAGAGACCGGAAGCGGATGTACCGTGCTTCAACCTGGAGGCGTCCCTGAGCTTCCAGATTTAGTTCGGCTCTTGATGTGTAAGGCTCGGAGTGGAAGAAACTGCGTGGTTTTATTTCGTTTCAGTGTAAATTCATGCGCATCCATTTAGATCCGACTTTTACCCAGACCCGTTCTTGATAAAGATACATTTCAGAGCGGGAGCCGCATTAGTCCGCTGCGGCCACTACAGCTACTGCCCGAAGATCAACAAATGTATTATGGCAGAGGGTTTTGTGGAAGTGACCTCACTTCGCTGTCGTTTCAGTCAAGTGATATATTCGTTGACAGTGACTTCCGCCGCAAGGCGCCTCTCTTTCTCTCCTTGTCTATGGTACTTGCGCCCCCCCCCCCCCCGGAAGGGCCAGGCAAGGATAACATCCGGTAAAGACACCGCCTCCTCGTCGGGGAGGAGGAGGCGGGCCTTGGCAACCAGCGCCAGTCACGTGACCGAGCCCGGACGGTCTGTTGCGGCAAGAGAACCGGCGGCGTTTCTTGGGAGCCTTTGTCGTCCCCGCCGCTGCGAGCAGGATGTCGGGCAAGGACAGGATCGAGATTTTCCCTTCGCGGATGTGAGTGGCCGTTTGCTTCTCTCCGGTGGTGGGCCAGCCTGACTGTTGAGCCAGTCCTTGGGGCGTCGAGGACGCCAGCAGGTTCCGTTTAGCCCTCGATGTCCTTTTGCCTCCAGGTCTTATTCATTCACGCGCGGGGGGGGGGGGGGGGGGCGACAATGCAGGCGGAAGAGCAACACGGGGATTTCGACCGATGTTAAGTGACTTTCACGGACCAGAGAACGGTGGTGGTTCTGGATGATTCACTCGGGGGTTCGGTATCCGAGGGTATGTTCTGTAGTGCTCACTTTTTAAAGGGACAGTGACAGTTAGCTCCATCACGAGGTAGGCTGTAGAGGGAGGCAGACACTGCACAGATTCAAATCCCAGTGAAGCCAAGGGCTGGCTTTGGGCATGTTGTTCTGCTTCAGTTTTCCATGCTGTCGTGTAAACTGACGTAGCAGTGACCTGCCTCTTAGGTTATTGGGTGAGTGAATTACCGTGAACTTCAGTGATTGTGTGAATTATGAAGGAGATGGGTAATATGGCAAGGTTGTTGAAGCTGCAGTCGTTGGTATATCAAGTTATTACAGAACAACAAGATTGGTTTATTGTTTGAGAGAAATAAAATGATGATAAAATTCCTTTTGTTACCTGGGTAGTAGGTTCTTGTAGATGCCAGTGATTGCTCCTGTTTGCTATTGCTGTGTTAAATGAAATGTGTGACTCCTATATGGAATCAGGGGGAAGGGCCTACATGAGGGTGTTCTTGGGAAGGCAACCTGTGGCTGTGTTGCTGATCTTTTGATGGGGCTCAGAACTGCAAATGCAACTGTTACTATTAGAGTGGAGCATTCCTTCACCATCACTGACTCCTGTGCTAATGTACAGGGCAAGTAAATGCATTTGGGAAGGAAGGACCTTTAAGGTTAAGAAAATGAGGAAGTGTAAAACAAGTGATTTCCAGGCCCCAAACAGCAAATGTGTAGTCATGCAGTCAAATGTCTTTGACAGTTATGGAACAGGGTTGTCACCCTTTCAGAACATGAACTGTTTAGAAAGGGTCTTAGTATTGGTGCTGATGAGTTATTATTTAATGCATTTGTATTAGAGAGATAATTTTGCTGGAATGTTCCTCCCTGTGTGAAAACTTGGGATTATAGTGTTAATAATTCTCAAATAAAAACTGAAAATGAATAGTAAGCTGTTGTGCTTGGCTTTCAAACAGAATTCCAAGTTGAAGGCAGCAGTGAAGAATAGTGTAATTCAAAAAAGGAAAACTGAGATGTGCCATAGCTCACTGTTTTCAGAAGGCTTAAACATGCCTAGGTATACAGGACTGATCTCTTAACAACCGTACCAAGTCCTTCTATGCCTAAGTGCCTTTCCTAGGTTCTGTAGAAGATCATACTTGAGAATGGTGAATACATTTAGCAGGTTGCCATCGCTAGCTCTTATGAAATACTTTTGCATACACAAAGTCAGCCTTGCTGAGTGACTGCCCATCCAGTGATAGTATGGTGTATGTGACCTGTGAAAAGTCTAAGAGTCCTGGAGCTGTTGAACATGAAGGTGACCTTCTAATGTTTCTAAGCTGAGCCTAGTTCCACTGATTAATGCCTATGTAGAAGGGAGCACTCACTGGAAAAGACCCTGATGCTGGGAAAGATTGAAGGTCAAAGAAGACGGGGACGGCAAAGGATGAGATGGTTAGACAGTGTCAGCGATGCAACGAACATGAAATTGAGCCAACTTCGGAGGACGGCGGAAGACAGGAGAGCCTGGCGGGAGATTGTCCATGGGGGTTTCTAAGCTGAGCCTAGTTCCACTGATTAATGCCTATGTAGCAGGATCATCATTGTTTCATGACTGGGTCTTTGACCTTCCAGTGGTTTTGTATATTCTGTTTATCCAATAAACTATAAAAACAGGCAAGGGTGTTCCATCATGACTAGAGAATGACAGAGCTTCCTTGAAGTGATTCCCCTCTTCCTCCCTCCCTCCTTTCTTAAGGTAATCTCCTATAAGGAATTTAATATTTAGTCTTCCTTTTAAAAATAATTGCAATGAAAATTGGTGGTGGTTCATTAAACCAATGCATGGATGCAGGATAATGAAAAAAATCTAAGAAGCTATGTTTGCTTAATTCCTTGTCTTGATCTCAAGTGAATTGTGGAGGAACATCTATAGTCTATGTTTGCTGAATCTGGTCTGACATTCTTGATAGTAAACACAACCATGTTTATTGCAGACACACAGTTTTGCAGAATCTTGTTCCAGCTAGTAAATGAACTAGGTTTCAGTGTGTAAACAGTGGCACAAACCAGTTGGTACAAGAAAGTAAAAGCTGTCTGGATTTTTAAAAATTGAGTTGTGTTCCTTAAGATGCTTTATGTTGTAACTCTTTCAGGAGTTGTCATGACATTTCCTTGTGCAGCATGTATAAATGATGCCCTAAGTTAATAATGATGTGAAGGTTTTCCTTGGAGGTCAGGGCTGTCACCAGGATCTTGTGGCTACACAGAACAAATGTCCAATTGGCAAAAGTTGCCCAAGGGAGCAATCATAAATCTACCATGGGGTTTACTCCCAAGAAAGTGTTTTTAGGTTGCAGCCTAAGTCAAATGTACAGTTATATTTGAGGAACTGATTGTCTGTAGTGTCTGACCATATGGTAAGTCAATTGTTGTGATTTCCCTGCAATGATTAGAAGAGAGAGAGAGTAGGGATACAGAATCTGCTTCATTGTATAACCATTTGCAAGTAGCCATCAAATGGTAAACACTTTCCTTTTTCCACCGTAAATCTTTGTCTGTCACATGTCTTAAGTTCTTTGAGCCAAGGAACTCTGTTGAGTTTCTTTTGCTTTATTTCCCCCCCATTTCAGAAACATTTTTGTCTCTTTTATTGATAATATGAAGTGATAGGATCAACTGTTCCTTTCTGAATTTGGCAGGGCTCAGACCATCATGAAGGCCCGTTTGAAAGGAGCTCAGACAGGCAGAAACCTCTTGAAGAAAAAGTCTGATGCTCTGACTTTGCGATTCCGGCAGATTCTAAAGAAAATTATTGAGGTAAGTGAATTGTCTTTTAATGTGTTTCCATTAGTAGGGAAATTTTAGCTTTATTAAATTTGTGACTAGCATCATACAGTAAATTTTGGTTTACTTTTCTTCATTATCGGTTGTAGCCTCCATGTTAGTATCTTGTTGCAATTGCAGACAAAGATGTTGATGGGTGAGGTGATGAGAGAAGCTGCTTTCTCACTGGCTGAGGCAAAGTTCACAGCTGGAGATTTCAGGTAAGGTTTATAAATGTAGTTTGGGGCATTTCTGTTTTGCAAGGAAGGGTGAATAACTAAGTGAACTTGTGAACTATTGATCTTTGAAATCTTTCTTCTGTTTGTGGAGAAGAGAATGGAAGAGGATAATTCTGTAAGAAGAAAAAGCATTTGGATAGGAGTTGCAAAAATAAGTAGGGAGAAGGGCAGGGCGTTAAACTTTCAAAACTATCTTCCAACAGAAGAAGCAAGTTCTCAAGGAATTTCTTTTATTTCTCCATCCCCTGAGCAGTCTGGGCATATTAGAAGACTTTGGATCCCTATGGTTTGGCATGGTCACTGCTTTGTATGAAAGCACATTTGCAAAAGTATCCCTTTTTGTGTGTGTGTGGGACCCTGACAACAGTTGGACAGATCTTAAAACCATACATTTCAATCAGTCCCTTTTGGCTGTTTTACAGCTTGTCGTAAAATTTATTGTTAATTTCAGAAGTTGTAGCAATACATGCTATCCTTTGCTTTATAAATAATCAGAACATACATTTATGTATAAAAAGGTAGCATAACATCCTCACTCCAGTCAGGAAGATTCAAAAACATTCCATCAAATCATAGATTTGGCTTTGCTCTGTTAACCTGATTGAGGCATTGGTTTACATGTTTTCCCACTGTAGATTCTATGTATGGGCACACTTAGATTTATTGAAACCTGTGATGGCTGATAAGAAATTGTTCTTTGAGCAGAAGACTCTCAATCTTATGGCAGGGGTTGACCCAAGCACTATTGTGTCTCTGGCAAAGTTTCGGTGTTCTGTAATGAACATACAGGCCAAGATAATGTCCAGTCAATCATTTACTCATATTCTAACCTTTTAACTGTTAGATATATTAGGACGAATGATGTATGGAGAGATTTTATGTAGATAATTTTATATTAGTGCTTATCTGTTTTATTCTGCTTCTGAATGGGCTGTGGGCTGTTGTAAAGACTGGCTGACTGACTATATTTCATAGTATACTGAGAAATGTTGTGCTTAGTGGATGCAACAACTTAGGCCCCGTTCACACGGAGAAGTTGCCATGCTGAAGACATGGATGATAGGCGGATTTTCTGGGTACGATCACACCGCAACATCTGGGAAGTGTAGTGTACCCGTGGCTAACCTGTGGCTTGTTGCCGAAGATGCGGAGTAAAAAAACCACCACATAAAATGTACTAGTTTCTGGAAAACGCGGGGCAAGGGCGGGCATCTGATTGCGTTTCCGCTGGAAACCCGTGGCATCCGGCGCCCGCCCATGTCCCGTTGCAAACCGGATGTTGTTTTTTTAAGTCTCCACAGGACGCGCACAAACGATCATGCACATGTGCAAACTTCAGTAAGACAAAAAAAAATCTGTTTGCCATGGAAGTGGCATGGCACGATTGCCGGTGTGATCGCTCCATGCAGCTTCTTTGCCGTGCTGCAGACTAGCCGTGTGATCGGCACCTAATGGCCTAACCACAGGACCTCGACAGGACGTCCGATCGGGCTGCCGCACATTACTTTGTTCTGGGGCAAACAGCCACACTTCCCCCCCCCCCGCATTTTCCGTCCCGTGTGACCGGGGGCCCAGTCGGTTTATCCTAATTAATCTCTACAGTCCTCATGTGTGGGATTGGAAGTTCCCACACATCTGAGAATTATATATGTACATTTCTTGAAGTAACCAACTATTTTGCTGAGTTACCTGCAAGATACTAGTTCTTTTTCAAGGCTAGTTTTGACATGACGTGTTTGAAAAACACCCTAGCCTTTCCACCCAGCAAGTGTTGGTTGTCCCTCTAAATTTACAGTTGATGTCTGAGCTTGGTTTTAAGTGTTTGAAATTGTGTACACTGATCTGTTAGCACTAAAGCTGATGGTTAAGTAAATAAGTTTGACTATTACTTGATTGTCACAGAAGGTATGTGTCACATACAATATTGCAAAATAAAAATTCTGTTGTTCTTGCAGTACTACGGTGATTCAGAATGTGAACAAAGCTCAAGTCAAGATCAGAGCCAAGAAAGACAATGTAGCAGGTGATGAAATTGTAGGCTTATGTGTTTTTGAAAAAGGAGGATGTATCTTCTTTTGCAAATTGTTCAGAATAATCTCCTTACAGAAGTGCTTTTTGATAATGATGAAGAACTAGAGTCTAAAAACTTTTGAGACTAACAGAATCCCATCCCAGTGAGAGTTGAAATCCATGATCTTAGTTGTAACTTTGCTTAAGATGGCAATATGAGTATATGATCATTGTTTTTCTCCTAATCGGTGGTCATTCAGGTCTGCTTCTGCAATGCGGTAGAACACGCTCTTGTTATAAATGGAACAGTTCAGTCTGGTATGACTTTCCTTATGGAATGTACAGGGAAGAGAACTGGACACAGATTAGAACAATTGTGTCGTGTCACGCACCAGATATTTCCATAATTGTACTGTGTACAGATTGTGCGGTGCATATATGTGAAGCAAACTTTCATCAGTACTGTTGTAGAATTTTGGATTTTGAAACCGAGAATATTGAAAAGTACCTAAGCCCACAATATTTCCAGCTAGGGCCTGACTGTTAGTGATCAGGATGTTCTGAAACTGTATCCTTTGCTGTGGCATTCCTCCATATAGCTGTGTAAACAATCTTTCACGGGTTTCTGCTTTCGAATAGCTATTGCCCCTGGGTCAAAAGAACAAGTGGTTAAACTCTTAAGGATTCAGTTTCAGGAGTCATGAGAGAAAACTGGGTTGAGGCTGTAAAATATTTTTGTATAAAGTGTTGTCTGGCTTTTACAGGTGTGACCTTGCCAGTTTTTGAGCATTACCAAGAAGGAGGAGACAGTAAGTAAGAAGTTACCTTCCCCCATCCTCAAGAAATCTCTGGTGTCTTGTTCGTAAAACAATATTGAATTGAGTCTTGGAAGCTATATTTTTTTCCATCATAGCCCCATGAAATGACAATAAACTGTTATTTGGGCTTTTTAAAAGTGTAACAGGTGAAAGCAGACAGGAGATGTTTGTGATTTGGCCACCAGCCTTGAGCACCTGATACTTTTAAATACAATCCAGAGTTTTTGAAATGAATAAAACTCTTGCTGTTTACTTCAGTGGGTTGCACTCTTTGTTATTTTCCGTTGTTGTGAAGTGTGGCCCACATCTGCAGATAACTATATCTGTGGATCAGGGCCACAGAGCAAGAAAACATAGTTCTACAAACCTGGGAGACACCCCCCCCCCCAGGTTTGCAGAACAAAATTGAAAACAATTTAAAAAATGTGCTGGGGGGGTTTAATCCCCTCCAAATAAAATAACATAAATCTAGATATTAGAGCAGTGAATGGACAAGATGGGTCTTTTGACAAGCATAAAAATGCTTCAGGTTTGCAGAAGAATCTTTTGCTAGGTAAACACAACAGTTTGGCCAGCATTCTACGCTTGGTTTCTGTGAGAAAAAGGCAAGGGGAGAGGATAGCATCCTTCGTGGGTCTATTTTGGCCTAACCTGCCTCACAGGGTTGTTGTGAGGATAAAATGGAGGAGAAGAGAATGATGTAAACTGGATTGGGTCCTCATTGTGGAGAAAGGCAGGACATAAATAAATAAGATGGGTGGCAGATAAAAGTATATTGCGTGCGTGGGTGGGGGTGAAGGAGAGAAGGAAGTAGGGAAAGGTGAGGAGGAAGGAACTGCCAGGATAAGGAAAAGAGGAGGTAGTGTGAGGAGGGGATGCTGGACAAAGTGAGGTGCCCCCTTCAAGTCCCTGTAGGTTCCTTGCAGTGCAACTGGGCCATAGTTTCCCTGGGGAGAGGCTGGAGATGGGTGTGTGTGAAAAGGGTAGGTTGGCTGGTGGGTGGAGAGTACAAAGCAGGAGAAGGGGAGAGGTCATAGGGGCTTTCAATAAAGAGAAAGATGATGTAGTGAGGGAGGAGAAAATGAGATGCCCCTGCAAGTCTGCATGTCCTCCACTTTTTAGAAGAGAAAGCTGAAATGAGTGGCTTGGCATGCTTAGAACCATCCTCTTCTGTGTAATGTCTTCTGGTGATCTAAGTTTTGTGGTATTTTTCATGAGGTCACTATTTTTACTGATTCGCTTCAGGTTATGAGCTGACTGGTTTAGCCAGAGGTGGGGAACAACTGGCAAAACTGAAAAGAAACTATGCCAAAGCTGTAGAGCTCCTTGTAGAACTGGCCTCACTGCAGGTAGGTGGCAACACAAGACCATCAGAGGGATTTTTGGTATCGATGCATTTTAGGGCATCAACAAAAGAACTAAGGAATTGCACCACATTATAATCGCTTTAAAAATCTGGTATTTCTTAAAGAGGTCCTCTAGTATCTGTTCTCTTTTCTGACCCATTTATTTGCAGTTAGTTCTACAGTATGATTAGCAAGCACAGGATGTAATAACCTTGCTGAAGCTGAGCAGTTCTGGGTCTGGTTGGTGCATAGATGTGGTGTCCATGGGAACCCCATGTATGCCACCTTGACTTCCATGGTGGAAGAAAGGCTATAAACACGATAGTAAAAGCTGTAGCTAAAATGCACAATGAGAGCATGTGTGCTGTTTTTCAGACAGCTCATGGGGTGGTATGGTACAAGTTATCTGAGGGGCTATGGAAACTGTATGTTGGGCCTGGAGTAGGCATAGTTATGTTATGGGAAAAATAGACTGGCACTGCTGCAGCCTTAGACTTGACTTCCAAAGCGGGCATTATTTTACAAGTAAAGCTTCCTACCTTGTTTTACCAGGCTCCTGCTGCAACCTAATTACATTCGTCTGTAGAGCGTGTCTATCAGCTGGTACAACACTGAGCTCAGTTTTGTGTTCACATACATAGATATGTTCCACAATAATATTCCTACTCCTCTCCTGAGCCAGGCTATAGGATTCTTTGATCTGTGCAAGAGTTTAAAAGTGCTTCAGATCAGGTATTCCACTTCTAGCTTAATTGTGCAAGGCAGCACTGGGTAGTGGGAATCTGGTGAGGCCATTTCTATCCTGATCCAGTACCACCCTGTACAAGTCTGGTGCTGATAAGGCTGTGCCAGTAAGCTGTTTTGGGAAGCTTGCATGTGGAATACCATCTGAATTACCAGACCTCCTCCCATCATGCCAGTTTGACTTTATTTTTTGAGTAACGAAATCCCCGAAAATGTATGTCAACATGCTTTAGTCTGGCCTGAGATCCTGAGACCCAATTTGTCACGGATAATTTTTAATTTTGTACTGCATCCCATAGACTTCATTTGTTACATTGGATGAAGCCATCAAGATAACCAACAGGCGTGTGAATGCTATTGAACATGGTAAGTGAATGGGGATGGTGCTTAAATGCTCTTCAGCATGAGTTGGCAATGTTAGGTAGGCTCAGGCAACATGGAGACCAACAGGATGACTGTAAGAACATAAGAGAAGCCAATGTTGGATCAGGCCAATGGCCCATCCAGTCCAACACTCTGTCACGCAGTGGCCAAAAATACCAGGTACCATCAGGAGGTCCATCAGTGGGGCCAGGACACTAGAAGCCCTCCCACTGTTGCCCCCCCCAGCACCAAGAATACAGTGCATCACTTGCCCCAGACTGAGAGTTCCTATCTAAACCTTGTGGCTAATAGCCACTGATGGACCTCTGCTCCAGATGTTTATCCAATTCCCTCTTGAAAAGCTGTCCATGCTTGTAGCCGCCGCCACCTCCTGTGGCAGTGAATTCCATGTGTTAATCACTCTTTGGGTGAAGAAGTACTTCATTTTATCTGTTCTAACCCGACTGCTCAGCAATTTCATGGAGTGCCCACGAGTTTTTGTATTGTGAGAAAGGGAGAAAAGTACTTCTTTCTCATCCTGCTCTATCTCATGCATAATTTTTTAAACCTCAATCATGTAGAAACAGCCTCCATTTACCGTACTTTGGCTCAGGGAGTGATTGTGGTCTCTAATGGGCATTTTAATATTAGTGATGAAGAGAGCATATTTTGGGGTCCCATTTCACAACAAGACCTTGGGGAAACATTAGGAATCCAAAAGGAGCTCATGTTAGGAATGAGTAACCCTTTCCACAACCCCTTTAGGATATTGTACAGTCCACTTCTCAAATTTTCACTGTAATCATGCGTGGGAAACCTACTATTTGAGCATGGCATCTGACATTTGATAGCTAGACAAAGTGCCTCAAGGACTTTATTTTGACAATTCAAGTTCAGTGCTTTCTTTCTGTAGATGTTATAGTAAACTAAGGACTCCCAGACCCAAGCAATACTCTGTGGCAGCACATCCTTGGTTTCAGTGAGATTTTGGCCTGTTTCCATGAACAAAATATGCTTTGGAATTCACTCACCTTGGGAGAGGTAAATGCATGTTACAGCTGACTGCTTGGGTTCAGTTCAGTTGTCCTCCCAGATTACCATATTTTGCTGTGACAAGATGAGGAAATTTTTCAGCTTGTGATGTCACATACTGGCCAGTGATACGGCCATATAGTGTAATTATTAAGTGTCACAGGGTTAACTACAGCGTGAAATAACAGACACCCCCATTCCATGCTCCCTCTAAGCTGTGAGTCTTATGAGCAAAAATTCTACTTTGTGAGCTACTGGCAAAGTTGTGAGTGAGCGATTTGGCTACTGCATACATTAGTTGGCTCTGGAGCCATCCTTTCCTGAGCTAAGACAAAAATGTGTGAGCCGGAGGCTAAAAAACTGTGCGCTAGCTCACACTAACTCAGCTTAGAGGGAACACTGCCCCCATTCTAAGCTCCTTATGCTGGTGCCACTAGCTGGTATCCTGTGTTTTCTTTTTTAGCTACACCAGGGTTTTCAGTGGTGTGATAGTTCACTGGGGTTATGCTTGGGGCTGGAAGGGTTTAAGAAGCTGATTGAGTCCTGCTTCCCTCCATGGCGTACTCCTGAGACTACCCAGTTCTAGCAGCTACACTGGTGGGTGCCAGCACAATGCTGCTAGGGCTTGTCGCTGATATACCTTCAGGGTATACTGACGTAGGGCTTAGTTGCTATCCTAAGCTTGTTCTTGCCAGGGCTTTGGATGGGTTTCTTTGATTACTAACAGCAGAAAGTTTTATTTTAGTGAAATAAAACCATAATATCTGTGTAAACGTGTTTGAAGTCAGAGTACAGTGGTATTAAGATTCTAGCAAAAATTTTGTGTTCTTTAATCAGTACTGCATTTTTTGTGTCTGTTGCTCACCAGTAAAAACATTTTGCATGGCTGTAGTGCTTATTGCTCCTAATTTATTTTCATAGTGATTATTCCCAGGATTGAACGTACACTTTCTTATATAATCACTGAGTTGGATGAGAGAGAGCGGGAAGAGTTCTACAGGTGAGTGACTTGGCAGTCTTTTCATTCAAAAAGATTGAACATTTCTGTACAGTCGCACCAAAATTTCAATAGGTTCGTTTGTTAACAATTGGAATTCCTTCAAGAACACAGTGAAATCTGTTATAATCAGAGTAGTTTGATTCCAGGGAGTACTGATGAACTGTATGACTACTTTTAAAGAGCATACTAGCTGCATTTTCCCCCTCTTTCAAGTGGCCCCTCTTGAGTATCTACAGATACAGGATTATGTGGAGAAGTGTTAGTGTGAATGGGGCTATAGATAAATATCACCCAGCAGTAGCTGACACCAATTTTTATAGTCCTGGGAATACTTAAAGATTGCTGGCTGTATCAGTGTGCATCCTGGTTCACCCTGCTGTTTCTTTACACTATCCTGTACTAGTGAGACTGTGTGTAGGAAGATTCAGTGGAAAAGTTGCTGGCTGGCACATGCAAGCTACTCCAAAGCCTTGAAACAGCTAAGTCGTGTTTGGTATATGTAAATGATTCCTGCCTCATTTAGTCCCCTTGTCACTACTCTTTTGCCAAGAGGTTAGCTGATTTTTGACTGCTTATTGGCAAAGTCTGGCATTTGTAGTGTGGTTATTATGCAGCTGTTCTACTGAAAGATAAAGATACTGGGCAAGAGCTCTGGTTTGTTGAGGGTATTAACAGTGGTTTGAAACTTTACTGGCCAGTTCTGTAAGTTCTTGTGGGGAGACACCAGCTTCCTGTGTGTAACTGAGCCATATGGTAAAGAATAACCAGCTCAGAGGATTTGGTTTAAAGACTTTAGTGGCAGCACTAGGTATGTTTTTGCACAAAAGCACTGGCATAAAATATGCAGAATCCTTTAGGACTGTTGCAGCCATATGTAGTGGGAGGAATGATGTGGAGGATTGCTTGGCAAGTATATTAGATCTGCTTGCATCTAGTATGTTCTTCAAGTTTGAAAGTCATTCAAATGCAGAAGTAAAAGTTGGCATTTACCCGGCACAGCAGTTCATATGGCTGGGCTGTTACCATCTGAGACAGGCACAAATATGCATCCTTGGAGTCCTAGAAAATTAGACACCTGAAATTTCCTATCTTCCTTGCAAGAGTTGTATCTGTATATTCTTTTTATGCATCAGCACATACACGAAGCTTAAAGTTTCACACTGGAGAAAAAGACCAAAACATGAATGCTAGTGAAAGTGTCCTTCTTCAGCCACATGACAGGGGTCATGGTGTACCAATTGTCTCGAGAGTTAAATTTTAGTGTGGAAAGTGGGTTTTTTTTGCCATAGTTCATTGTTGTTGACCTCAGTCACCTGTCTTCAGTACGATTTTAAAAAAATTGGTTGCCTTGTTAGAGACAGTGAGGTCACCACTTAGCCAATTAGATTTGGCTAGATTATGACATCACTGAAGGCAGATGTGAGCAGTATTCTTACTCTGATTTGCCCTCATTAAAGTAATCACTTAGACTAATTAAATCGACAAAATAATGATGTGATTCTTGGAGAGAATCTTTAAAAAATGGCAACTAATGTTGAGAGGAGGCTAAAAGATAAAACTCCGGCATTGGGGGGTGGCCTGATGCTGCAGTGAGGGTACAAATGCTTGTGTGCCTGTCAAGGAGTCAACAGGCTGACCCCATTGGTTCCCTAAGCAGTTGCACACAAATAACCAGACTGTTATTTAAAAAACACATTTTTCACTACTCCTAGGCTTCCCTTCTCCCATCACTGAAGACACGTTCTCAAGAGAAGCTAATTGTCCACTTTCACCCTGGCCTTGAAAATGATAAGGTGCCAGGCAGGCTGAAAAACTAATTAGAAATACCTACAAGGGAGACCATGCCCATTATTACACACATTAACCCTTGAGGGATGGCAAGGATGGCACTTTGCCTTACATGCCCATTTGAAAAAAGTCAGCTGAATGGGGGAGGAAACCTTTCCTGAGGAGAGAAAGTGTTCTCTTATTTTGGCTCACTACTCAATCCTGGAGCTATAGACCATTATTGTTTAACAACGTATCAGTGGAGATAGGAAAGACAAAAATGGGCACATACAAATTATAGCTTCATCACATGTCAAATAGATTGAGATTTGGTTCTGAAATGTTTCAATTCTCTATGCTATTTTACTAATAAATAAATAATGTGTTTTCTAAGGATTTTTAAAAATGTTTGGGCATATTCTGCATAAAAGTAAGCCAATAGTGAACGTTTATATGTATGTACCAGAAGGATCAATTATTTGAATTATTTGCTCTAAGGTTAAAAAAGATCCAGGAGAAGAAAAAAATAATAAAAGAGAAGAACGAAAGAGAACAAGAGTTGCGAAGGGTTACTGGAGAGCACGAACCTGCCAATTTGCTTGCAGAAGACAAGGATGAAGATCTTCTCTTTGAATAGCTGTGTACATCTGTGATGATGCAAGAGAAGACAGAACAGTGATTCATTGAGACACAGTTCTGGACCTGCAGTGGTGCTTATTTATGATGTGGTTCTTCATTTGGTGTATTAGTCTGTGATCTAGACTCTCTGGATTTAATCTAAGGGTTCTTCTGTTATGGGAAACAGCTAATATTGATCATTGAATACATGCATGAAGCAGAATCATTTCCAATTCAGTTTATCCATCTCCATTTCTGTGGCTACAGGAGAACTGGAACCTTTGCTTCTGCAGTGCTTTCAGGTATTCTTAGACTCTGCTCATTCCTTTTTCGAAACGGCCAAATTGTTATGGGCAGAAGTGCTTGTACACCCGTTTTGTGTTCGCAGTTGAAATCAGGTACTGCAGGCTTGCAACGCTATTAAATGAGAACAGTTATAGCTGCATCTTCTGTTACAGTTTATCTTTCTAGTAAGGAAGGTTCTACTTCTGTTTCATGTTGTATCTGCTAGCCTATTTGCCTCTGCTGCAGGATCAGTAAAGAAAGCAGTGTCTAAACAGAGGGTGTATGCATCATTTCTCACCACGAGCTGGTACAATGACCACAGCAGTACAGATGTATACTTTAGAGCAGTGATGGCGAACCTTTTAGAGACCGAGTGCCCAAACTGCAACCCAAAACCCACTTATGTATTGCAAAGTGCAAACACGGCAATTTAATCTGAATACTGAGGTTTTAGTTTAGAAAAAAACAACTCATACATTAACACCTTTTGTCTTAAAAGAAAAACACAATAACATAGCTTTCAATGATACAAACACTGTCTGTTTTTGCTTTTTTTGCTGTACTCATTTCAAAACTTGGGAGTCTACAAAAACACAAAATTAAAAAAAAAACTAAGCACCCAATACAAATCTATCCCTATACCAAAAATATAGGTAACACTAAAGAAATGGATATTCCCTGAATCAACAGCTTTTGGCCTGCTCTGAGAAAGGCATCTGAGTGCATTTCCTACCTTTGATTCACCTCCGCTGTACATGCACTGGACCTACTTCTTGGGGAATTTGCATAAATAAGATGAAGTGGAGGTGTAGCACACATTTCCCATACACAGGAGGTGTGCAGACCTCGATCATCCATACAAGCTCTCATTTTCCCATTAGCAGGAGCTCAGGTTGGTTCCTATGGACAGCAGCCAATACAAAGTTCCCCCTGACAATCCCAGATCACTGCTACTCACAAGGAATATTCCTTATCTTCCAACCTCAAAAGAGGGTATTTTCATCTGTGTTTTAAGAGCTCAAAAGAGGAGAGCCACCTCCACACCATGCAGAGAGACACATTTACTGAGAAAGCCCTGGCCCTATTCTCATAAGAACATAAGATCAGGCCAGTGGCCCATCCATTCCAACACTCTGTCACACAGTGGCCAAAAC